TGTAATCATGCACACAACATCGAAACTTTGATGCATCTTGCAAAATAGTTAATGTTTCGTTAGTTTTACAAGAGAACTAAAAATAGACAAAAACTAAAAAATTAAAACTTACAAAAACTAAAAACTTACAAACTCGGCGATGTTTTCAATCGTGCTTCTGTGAGAGTTACCCATTGTGAGTAGAGACATTGTGGTTTACGAATTTATGTACTGGGTGAGTAGAGTTTGAGAGTTTAAGTGTGAGAGAGTTTGAGAGTTTGAGAGTTTGAGAGTTTAAGTGTGAGAGAGTTTGAGGGTTTAAGAGATTGAGAGAGTTTGAGAGTTTAAGTGTGAGCAGATTTTGCTGTGTAAAGAACCTCTACTTATATTCCACGAATGCATGTGTCTTGGTTATGCATGCAGGGCAAGTGTCTTGATGCATAGTGTCTTGTAAATGCATGCAGGGCAAGTGTTGTCTTGTCAAAAATGCATACTTTTAATTAGGTTTAACATAGTTTTAATTAGTAAGAGTGTAATAATAATATTGGCTTAATAAATGTAAACATAATATTTTTAGCGTATAACACAATATTACAACTAACGCAGCAGCAAATATAAAGACATTAAATTTCAAAAATGTATTATTCGGTGTTCTGATTGTTACTGTGACCATGTGACATATATTTATTAGTAAGAGTGCAGCTGGTAAGCAATGTGTTGTGTTGTCAAGCATGCTGCATGCAGAGTAAGAATCTCGTAGGCCTGCAGGGTCATCGTAGGCATGCAGGGTCACATGTGAACCGCAGAGTTTTGCCTTGTCCTGTCTTGTCAAGCATGCTGCATGTAGAGTAAGAATCTCGTAGACCTAGAGGCAGAGTCATCGTAGGCATGCAGGGTCATCATAGGCATGCAGGGAATCAGTTCAGCTGTGAAGCAATGTGTTGTCTTGTCAAAGAAACTGATTATTACTGTGGCCATGTGACATACATTTATTACTCGTTATTAGGTTGAACATATTTTTAGCGTCAAACATAATATTACAAGTAACGCAGTAGCAAATATATTCAACATTAAATTTCAAAAATACATTATACGGTGTTCAGACTGTTACTGTAGCCATGTGACATACATTTATTAGTAAGAGTGTCGTAGGCCTGGAGGGTCATTGATAGGCATGACAGAGTGCAGCTGATAAGCAATGTCCTGTCTTGTCAAGCATGCTGCATGCAGAGTAAGAATCTCGTAGTCCTGCAGGCAGGGTCATTGATAGGCATGCATGTGTTGTCTTGCCAAAAAAACTGAGTTATTAGGTTTAACATATTTTTAATTAGTAAGAGTGTAATAATAATATTGACTTAATAAATGTAAACATAATATTTGTAGTGTTAAACATAATATTACAAGTATATTCAATGTCCTGAAGATTCATTGTAGGGTAAACATGCAAGAATCTTATATTATATATTTATATTTATAAATAATTTATATATTTTATAAATAATTTATAAATAATTTAAATTATCTATTAGTAAGAATCTCAACCTATTTATATTTAAATATTTTATAAATAATTTAAATTGAATGGGAGGATTATAAATAATTTAAAGAATATCAACCTATTATATGGTGTTCAGATTATTACTGTAGCCATGTGACATAACTTTTCAAGACGATGCATTCGTGGATTATAAACAGAGGTTCTTTACCCAGCAAAATCTGCTGACACTCACACTCTAAAACTCTCAAACTATTAAACACTCAAACTCGCAAACTCTCAATCTCTCAAACTATCAAATTCTCAAACTCTCAAACTCTCACCTAGTCTTTCTAAACACAATTTTCGCTATGTCTCAAACACCACAATATATGATTTTCGCACATCTTAACAGTGAAGTTTTCAAATGTGAAATATCGGGCTATAATTTCAGAAGCACTGATGTTACAAGATTTTTAATTGACAGAAGGTCAAATTTTTTACACCTGAAGTCAAGAATAGAAAAAAAACTGCAATGTGGTCCAGTTGGACAAATAATATACAAAAATCCAGTGTTTTTTGACGGTCATGTTGAATGCAAAATTTTCCCGTTAAAGGTGCGAGACGATGAAGATGTCCGTAACATGTTCCGCAGTCACGAGTATTTTGGTTTCTCAGATATCGTGTCACATGTTACGTTACAACAACAACAACAACTGTCTCAACAACTTGATTCTTCTCAAGTGTTTTGCAATTCTTACGAGGAACACGCTGAAGTCAATGTCGTTGACGAAGAAGAAGAAGCAACTGAAGTAACTGTTAACGAGATGGTGAACAACCAGGACGATGGGGTTTCACCCGACCATGTTTATTGCCCACCTCAGCACATGACAACTCTCGACTTAGGTGGCGATGAACCCTCGACGGATATTTTCTACAACCCCAACTATGCAACAGAAGGGCAACTAAAAGAGGGTGACGAGTTTCGTACCAAAGAAGATTGTGTCCGGGCAATCAAACAATTTCACATGGAGTTGTCAGCCGATTATAGATTCGATTGGATAAATCCGACGCGGTATACGATCTATTGTCAGTCTTGAAAACGGTTGGCAGGATCCTCCCTTGACCCACGTCTATTGCATAAGGCATATCGTCCAAAATTTCATGCGGGAAATCAAAGACAAGATGCTACGGAAGAAGGTTGTGAACGCAGGATATGCACTAACAGAACCCACATTCAAATACTACCGTGACGAGATCAGACTAACAAACGTGGATGCAGTAAGATGGATTGATAACATTGATGAAGAGAAATGGACGCGGGCATACGACAATGGGGTGCGATAGGGCCACATGACAACTAACCTCATTTAATCAATGAATTCTGTTTTCAAGGGAATCCGAAACCTACCAATAACTGTCTTGGTGAAGGCAACATATTTTAGGCTAGGCTCACTCTTTGATAGCAGACGTACGAAGTGGGGTTCAACATTACAATCAGGTCAGTTGTACAGTGATACTTCAATGAAATTCATGAAAGACGAAGCTGCCAAAGCCAACACACACGTGGTCACAATCTTTGACCGTACAGCTGTTTGGTTTAGTGTTGCCAAATCGATTAATCACAACGAAGGAAGGCCTAAGGAATGTTACCGTGTTGAACTGGATAAGAGCTGGTGTGATTGTGGAAAGTTTCAGGCATTCCGTATGCCTTGCCCTCATGTTATAGCAACATGTTCGAAGGCGCGCCAGGACCCGACCAACCTTCTTTCTGCAGTTCACCAAGTGATAAGTCTATGCAATGTCTACACATGTAGATTTCAGGTGGTGGCAAAGGAGGACTATTGCCCTCAATACGAAGGCGAAATTGTCTGGCATAATGACTTGATGCGCAGAAAGAAAAAGGGTCAGCCTAACAGCACGCGCATTCGAACGGAGATGGATACCGCATACAAGATGGTAAGATTATGTAGTTCGTGTCGGCAACCAAGACACAATCGCACAAAATGTCCTAACGTAGGACCAAGCAGCAGATCATAGTTTCATATATAACCGTGTCCCTTTAAATCAATAGCAAATTTTATTCGATTAAAAGCATACTTAATTGATTACAATTAGCAAGCAACAGAAATTAAACAAACATAAGTTAATATCACAACAACATTTCGAAAATAACAAAAACATAAAGACATAAAACAAAACACTGCACCGAGGCGTCTACGATATCACGACCATCAACGTTATCTTCTTCGGTGTTAACATCATCACAAGGACACCAACATCATTTTCCACTTTCCTCAATTCACGAGTAACTCCGTTTCTCCCAGCCTCCTCGGCCAACCTCTCAATTTTCCTAATCTTTTCTCCTGGAGAAATATCTCCTTCTAACCGGCGGTTCAGTTCCCTATGCAAGTGCTCCAACGTCTGCATATTCCACAGGAGCACCTTCATCGGAGACTTTGTTGCTGAAAAGACAACTAGGGCATTTCTTTTTATTATATCGAATATTGAAAAGGGTTCCTCCGATGCTGATGACGACGACGAAGAACATTGATTTAAAAATGCAGACATTCTAGATTCCACTCCACTCAAAATGCACTAACACTTCAGTCTTTTGGTATACAATGTTGTGAAAACATATATGTGTTTGCAGTCGTATTTATAGAAAAATAAAATAGTACACGCTCCATATGATATGTCTTAAATATCATTACAAACTTTATACACATTGAACTCTTAATCAATTTTTATATTTTAAAATTTATAATTTAAATTAATTTATATGCATTAAAATTAAATAATTATTATCCATTTTTATTTTATATTTAAATTAATTTATAATTAAAATTTTAAAAATATTTAAAATTTAAAAACAATAATTATTACTTAAAAAATTTATTTTAAAATTATATCACAATTATATTTATATTAAATCTAAATATATAAAAATAATATTTATTAAACCTAAATTTATATTTTAAATTTATTAATTATTTAAAAATTTTATGAATAAAAATTATAAAAAATTATAATTTTTAGACTGAACGCCAATTGCTTTTCAGTTAGGGCCTAATTCCAGCCAATCGGTCTGGCAAATCCACTAGAGACCCTAGAGGTCCATTTCTAGCAACACTATATAGCCATTTCGCTTGATGACTAAATGTTAAATTGTAGTTAATTTGAACAATTTTTTAAATCTTGTATTCATATAATAAATTATTATTAATACTTTTATTTTAAAAAAAATTCTGTCAATTGCATTCTTTATTTTTTATAATTATTTATTTAGTATTTAAATTTTGAATATTTTAGATACATTTTGTTGTATATAAATGTAGCCAACCCAACTTTTTTGAAGTGGGGTAATGAAGAATAGAGAGCAACATAGTTATTAACACATTCTTTGAACTATCCACAATAATGGTAAACATAACATCACAATCAAAATTCCAAACAATTAAAACAGAACACAGGTTTAAACAAGATACATAAATTGTATGTAAACATAAAACTATAATATTTCACACAAGAAACAAAAACATATTCTTCAATTAGCTGATTCCTGAAGTCTTCTTTCACCACTTCCTGCAAAATCAAAACTCACACTTTCATACCTTGCATGCATGAATCATAATTCAAGTATTGAAACCAAAAAAAAAAAAGCACTACTAATACTAACCTTGAGTTGCTTCATTCTCGCCTGGTTTTCCAAACCAAGATTCAACAGTATCCTTAACCATATCAACCATACCTTTCCCTAACTCTCCTTCTCTTATCTCTTCATCCCAACCTCCTAACCTCTTCTTCACCTCTTCACTCTCAGTCACCTTTCCCCTAACTGGTTTTCTCCTACCCTCATTAACATCAGCATCTCTCTTATGAAGAGCATCAGATACTACTTTCCTCACATCCTTACCTTCTCTTTTATCATCATCATCATTAAGATCTTTCACGGTATCATCTACACTTTTTTTATACAAACTCTCAGAAATTCTCTTAGAAAGTGCTCGATCTTCTTCACCAGGTCTTAGCTTTTCAGATACATAGTCTTTCACGGATACCCCTTTATCTTGTTCTACCCCGCTTCCAATTTCAAGTTTTCCAGAAATTGGAGATAACTTCTCCATCAAGGAGACTGCAATTTTGTTTCCATATTCTGCAGGTGACACTTCAGAAGAAGAATCTCTCTCGGTTTCGCCGAAGCCGAGCTTTGAGGCTACTGTGTTTTTAGCTGATGCAGCTTTATCTGCTATTGCATATGTTGCAGAAGAGGTTTTCTCTGTATAGCTGCTCTGGTTCTGGTTCGATGGAGTTTCAACAGTTTCTCCTTTTTCACCATATCCAAGCTTCGAAGCGACCATGTCTTTAGCAGTGGCTACTTTTTCAGCAGCAGCGGATGTTGCTGATGATATTTTCTCTGTATAACTGACCTGGTTTGATGGTGTTTCACCAGTATGTGTTTCTCCTTTTTCACCATATCCAAGCTTCGAAGCAACCATGTCTTTAGCAGTGGCTACTTTTTCAGCAGCAGCGGATGTTACTGATGATATTTTCTCTGTATAACTGACCTGGTTTGATGGTGTTTCACCAGTATGTGTTTCCCCTTTTTCACCATATCCAAGCTTCGAAGAGACCATGTCTTTAGCAGTGGCTACTTTTTCAGCAGTAGCAGAAGTTGCTGATGATATTTTCTCTGTATGACTGACCTGGGTTGATGGTGTTTCACCGGTTGTTGTTTCTGCTTTTTCACCATACCCAAGCTTCGAAGCGACCATGTCTTTAGCAGCTGCAGCTTTGTCAGCAGCTACAGATGTTGCAGATGATATTTTATCTGTAAGACTGCTCTGGTTCGATGGTGTTTCACCACTTGTTATTTCTCCTTTTTCACCATATCCAAGCTTGGAAGCAACCATATCTTTAGCAGTGGCGGCTTTGCCAGCTGCCGCAGATGTGATTTTATCTGCATAACTGGTCTGGTTTGACGGTGTTTCACCGGTTGTTGTTTGAGTTGTTTCGTTCTCACCACCATATCCAAGCTTTGAAGCAACGGCATTAGCTGCTGCAGATGTGATTTTATCTGCATAACTGGTTTGTTTTGACGGTGTTTCACCAGTTGTTGTTTGAGTTGTTTCGTTCTCACCACTATATCCAAGCTTTGAAGCAACGACATTTTTAACACTGGTGGCTTTGTCAGCAATGGTAGAAGCTGCAGAATACATTTTGTCTGTGTAGCTGTCGTTGCTTTGGTTTGATGAGGTCTTCGTCAATTCATTGTGAAGCTGAGGTTGCTCTTCAGCTGTGATGTTTCTGTTAGTGGTAGAAAACTGTGGTGTAAACTGGACATAGCTTGAAGGGTATTGAGTTCTCATGGCACTCAAGTGTGGTGGAGAATGGTGCTCGGTAGGAAACTCTGCTCTAAATTGATCATGGCTTCCAGCTGAAGGGTGTTGAGTTCTCATGGCGCTGAGATGTGGTGGAGAATGGTGCTCGGTAGGTAAATATGCTCTAAACTGATCATGGCTTCCAGCTGAAGGGTGTTGAGTTCTCATGGCGCTGGGATGTGGTGGAGAATGGTGCTCGGTAGGTAAATATGCTCTAAACTGATCATGGCTTCCAGCTGAAAGGTGTTGAGTTCTCATGGCGCTGAGATGTGGTGGAGAATGGTGCTCGGTTGGTAACTCTGCTCTAAGCTGATCATGGCTTCCAGCTGAAGGGTTTTGAGTTCTCATGGCACTAAAATGTGGTGGAGAATGGTTCTCAGTTGGTAACTCTGAGCTAATCTGATCATGGCTTCCAGAAGATGAGTACTGAGTCTTCATTTCACTTGAATGATGTGGTAAGCTTGAATATTGTGGCAGAGATTGTACATGACTTGTAAAAGAGTGTTGTGGTATATGTTCAGTTGGTAATTCTGGTTTAAATTGAACATGGCTACCAGCAGAAAAGTGTCCAGATTCTCCTGCACCAGAATATGCTGGCAGATGTGTGTCGTGGATTGTGGCAGAAGAGTATTGAGGTTTAGGCTCATATGCTAAATGATGACTTGTAGCAGAAGGGTATCGAGATTCCGGTGGTAGATATTGGTCATGACCTGTGACAGGTAACAAGTTTGATGTAGTTTTTGTTGCATTGGAATATTGAGGTAAATTTTGGTCATGACTTGTTTCAGAATGGTGTTGAGGTTTATGTTCAGTTGGTAGTAACTGTGTTGTGAAATGATCATGGCTTGTAACAGAAGAAGGATATTGAGTTTTTGTTACATTTGAGAAATGTGGCAAGTTTTGATCATGATGGATGATATTAGGGTGTTGAGTTTGTGTTGAAGTGTTAAAAACTGGTGTGAATTGATCATGGTTTTTGGGGTATTGAGTTTTGATTTCAGGAGAGAGCTGTGGTAAGTTTTGGTCATGTGCTATATTTGATGATGGATAAGGTGTTTTGGTTTCAGTAGAAAGCTGTGGTGGAAATTGATTGTGAATTCCAACACAAGGTGAAGGGTATTGTGTTTCACAAATTGTTGCAACAGTTTTTGGCTCATTCTCTTTAGTCATTCTGTCCATAGATTTTTGAATTGGAGCAATATCAATTTCTGCACTACCTGTTATGTTACCAAATTAGTCATAAACAAAACATTAAAAAAATAATCAGTTAAACCAGCTCAGTTGATAACTGTGCAACTGTACAGCCATCCCAATTAATTAATTACCTGTCCTAGTTGGATAAGTGACCTTGGTTTGATAGTTAGCTGAAACACATGCTTCAGATCTACTTCCTGGTGCATGAGGATCTTCCTCCAAATTAACCTTAGATATCATTGTTCTCTCTTCCTTAACAAGCGTTCTTTCTAGCTCATGGTGATGATGTTCCTCTCCCATAATACTTCCTTCTCCAAAATTCACTCCTTGCACTTGTGGTGTCACATTTCTAACTCCAACACTATCATAAACTTCAAAAAGAAACATAGTTATAAAACTTTATGTAGAAGAAATAAAGAACATAACAAGTAACAAATGATCCCTTCACTTGGTGCTCCATGAATTTCTGGGTCCTGATCATCCTCATCATCTTCCTGATCCAGGTCATGATCATCAGGAATATGTTGATTTTCATACTGATATTGATCATGATGATGACCATGCTCATGTTCATGATCATCATGATGACCATGTTTTGGTTTTGTGATTGTGTCCTTAATTTTCTTAGCCTTTGCCTTCACTTTCTTCAGAACCGATTTCTTCTCATGCTCATGATGAGGATGTTCATCTTGCATTGCTCTAGCGTCCATGATTGAATGAAAAAGTAAGTGTAACAACTTTTCTTTTACTCAAGAAATTGTGTTAACTTAATAATTTACACGAATATTAAAGGGTTTTTAGAGAGAAGAGAAATAAGAGCATCTCCAATGGTGCAACTCATTTTTGTGTTCTTTGTGGGACCCACTCTTTTAAAGCAACTCATTCAATTTTCACTCCAATAGTACAACTTCAAATAACCCATATTGGGTCCCACTACTTTATTTAAAATATATTATTTATATTAAATTTATTTTATTTAAAATTATAATTTAAATATTTAAATTTTAATTAATATAAATACAAATTAAATATGTTTTGCCACCTTTGCATGGTTGTGGCGCCTCGAAGTAGTGACACGTGTGATTTAATTAAATATGTTTTTTTACCATTTGACACGTGTTGGATAGTTTTATATATGATCCCAAGCTTTCGAAATAGGAACAAAATAACATGTTTCAAATAGATAATTTGTTAATAAATGCTTGTAAATTTTTTATTTTTCTTTGTGAATTTAGAAGCTAAGGAAAGTTTACAAAGTATAATTTATAAGAATTTTTTAATGCCCACTAGATTCTTCTGCTGTGTATCATGTAAATTTTCTTAAATATTTTTAGTTTTTGAAAATGTATTATTAAACATATCTTTTTTTCTTAAATATTTTTAGTTTTGGGAAAATGTATTATTAGACATATTTTTTATACATTTGAGAAAGGTTATTATGAGAGACGTTTCATATATTACTTTTATATTTGAGAAAGGTAATTATGAGAGACGTTTTATATATTATTTTTATTTTAAAGATATATTTTAAAAATATTTTTAAAAGAACAATTTAAATGTCCAGTTTAGAAGATATATCGGATATGCATTTCTAAAATAATTGACGGTATTTTAAAATTTTTTACAATCTTTGCATGTCAGATATTTTCAAAGATGCCACTTCAAAAATATTTAATATAAAATCTAGTTGCGTGATCACTCCTCCATTGTTGACATATTTGGTTTCAACCAAACCGTTCACCCTAAAAATTCTTCATTTTCAATCAATTTTTTCACTCAAAATCTCCATCCTTTTGGTTCAACATATCACAGGGAGTAAAAGAAGATAGAAGTTGAGGTAAATATTATTCTTTTCCTTCTGCATTATTCACATTAATCATCAATTTTTTTTTTGAAAAAAGTTACGCTGTATCCGAAAATGTATCTCTGGAACGTTTATTAACATGTTTGAAGATGCATTTTTGGAACTTGTCTGTGTTCATTTTTGAAGTTGTTCTGCAGCAGTAGTTGTTCTTATGTTCTCTTTGTTAGAACACAAATTGGTTCTTAATAATAACTCTTTGTTTTGATGATAACTGTTAGGAAATTTTATATTTAAGAATTATATACTCTAAAATTTGCTTGTAAGTTTTACTGCAGATTGAAATGAAATTAACTCTCTAGAAGCAAATCTGAATTGTATACAAGAAGTTATCTAGACTCTGAAGCGCCAGATGCACTCATTAGAAGATTCTGATTGCTGTTTACAGAAGATCCTAAGCGTAGTCTCCAGAAGGATTTGAAGCAAAAAGCTCCAGAAGATTCTGAAGCTAGTCAGAAGCATCTGAAGCAAGAAGCTCCAGAAGATTCTGAAGCTAGTCAGAAGCATCTGAAGCAAAGAAGAATATTGTATGAAGAGTTTCTCAAAGCATAGTTCCTACAGAAGTTTCTGAAAGTACTAACGCTTCCAAGTACTGAAGTTCTGTGTCAAATATGCTCTGATGATCAACACGCTGAAAGCACACATGCTGCAGAAGACTCTGATACAACAAGGTTCTGAACTTCATTAGAAGACTCTGACTCAATCAGATTCTGAAGAACTTGCTGAAAACTGAAGAAGAAATATTCAAAGATTATATCCGTTGGAGTAAATCAAACGTCTCTTTACTCATTTGTGCTAGACATAAGAACACAGACAAAAAGGATTATTCTGTGCTTTCTACTTCTAGGAAAGGTCACTTGATGTGAAGACAAAAAGGCTCAGACCTTTTTGGGACTCTCTTTTCAACGCTCAGCATCCTTGGATCAGCTGCCTATAAAAGGAAGACTCCACCAAATTCTTCAGTGACACAATTTGCTGAAAAGAAATCATAATATTCAAAGCTCTCATTCTTTCATATTCTTCTTAGAATTTCTTGTACTTAAACTTAAGAGAAAAATCACTGTTGTGATAAAAGCTTTATAGAAGCATTAATACTCTTGTATTTGATTTACATTGATTGTAAAGGTTTTCCTTAAGAGGATTCAGTTGGAATCAGTAGCTCTTGAGAAAACTAAGAACAGTTGTTCTTAGGTGTTACTATTGTAATCTGTTTGATTAAATAGTGGATTAAGTCCTTGTTGAGAAAGGCAAATCACTTTAGGAAGGGTGGACTGGAGTAGTTGATTTCAACGAACCAGGATAAAAATAATTGTGTTATTATTTTTAAGTCTTAATCTTTCATACTTGTTCAACCCCCCCTTCTAAGTATTATCTCACCTTCAGTTGGCATCAGAGCTCCAGTTCTGTGTGTGCTACCACTTAACAGTGTCAGTAAAGATCCAGAGAGAAATACTTTGATATACAATGGCTGATAATTCAATATCCAATATTAACAATAAATATGAAGAAAGGGACAGGATCAGCACCAAACCCCCTATGTTTGATGGGGAGAAATTTGACTACTGGAAAGACAGAATTGAGAGTTTTTTCCTAGGATATGATGCTGATCTATGGGATCTAGTCATAGATGGATATGTCTATCCCACAGATGGGAATGGCAAGAAGATTGACAGAAAATCTATGACAGATGCTCAGAAGAAAGATTTTAGAAATCATCACAAAGCCAGGACTATATTATTGAATGCAACTTCACATACTGAGTATGAAAAAATTACAAACAGGGAAACTGCTTTTGATATGTTTGAATCCCTAAAAATGACTCATGAGGGAAATTCTCAAGTTAAGGAGACAAAAGCTCTGGCTCTGATCCAGAAGTATGAGGCCTTCAAAATGGAAGACTCTGAATCTGTTGAAGCCATGTTCTCTAGATTTCAGATACTCACAGCTGGGCTGAAAGTTCTGGACAAGGGATACTCTACATCAGATCATGTAAAGAAAATCATCAGAAGTCTGCCTACCAGATGAAGACCAATGGTGACTGCCTTGAAGATGGCTAAAGATCTGAACAAGATCTCTCTAGAAGAACTCATCAGCTCACTGAGGAGCCATGAGATTGAGCTTGAGGAAGATGAACCTCAGAAGAAAGAAAAAGGTAAATCTGTTGCATTAAAATCTAACAAAACTGCTAAAGCTTTGCAGGTCATTCAAGAAAGCTCTGAAGAATCTTCTTCTAAAGAAGAAGATGAGTTATCCATGCTGTCCAGAAGGATCAACAGACTCTGGAAGCACAAGGAAAAGAAGTTCAACAACTTCAGAAGATCTGATAATATAAAGGAATCTTCTGGACACAGAAGATCTGGCAAGAAAGAAGTTGTGTGCTATGAGTGCAAAGAACCTGGGCACTACATGAATGATTGCCCCAAACTTCAGAAAGAAAAACCCAAGAAGAAGTTTAACAAAAAGAAGAAGGTTCTGATGGCAACATGGGATGACTCAGATGAATATGAATCATCTTCTGAATCAGAAGAAGAATGTGCCAATGTTGCACTGATGGCCAGCACAGAGGATCAAGAGGAAGGTACCTCAGGATATGAATCAGATTCTGAATCTGATGATGACGCAAAAGAGGTAATGGCTAAACTTACCAAAGAAGAACTTATAAAAGTTTTAACAGAAGTTCTTAAAATTTATAACAATATCAAACTCAAATACAAGAAGCTGAAAAGCAATCTTGAATCTGAGATTGATCTTCTGAAGACAGAACTTGTTGAGCAAAAAGAAATTAATCTGAAAATCAAAAATGACTTTGAAATAACTCAACAAGAATCTGAATCTGAGACTAAGTCATGTGAAAACATTTTAGAAAAATATGACTCTAGCTTTCAGAGATTTCTTACTAAGAGCATAGACAGAAGCAAGATGGCTTCCATGATCTATGGTGTTAGTGGAAACAACAGAAGAGGTATTGGATATGAATCTTCATCTGAAAGCAATCCAAAACCTGTTGACAAACTTTTCATCAAGAAGACACCTCTGTATTCTCAATTTAAATTTGGTCACTTAAATGACATTAAACACACAAGCTCTGAGAAGAATACTTATGTGTTTAAACCCAAGGAAAGTCAGAATAAACATTATGTTGAAAAACAAAAGTTTACACAAACCTACAAACCAACTAACCCCAAAGGACCCAAGAAGATCTGGGTACCTAAAAACAAAATAATTCCTGTTGCAGATGTTCTTAGCAGCAAGGTCAGGACACCAATCATGGTACCTGGACTATGGATGCTCACGACACATGACAGGAGAAAAGTCTATGTTCCAAAGCCTGGAACTTAGATCTGGAGGTGACGTGAAGTTTGGAGGGAACCAGAAGGGCAAAATCATTGGATCTGGCACTATTGGAAATGGTAAACTTCCCTCTATTACTAATGTTTTACTTGTTGAAGGGTTAAAGCATAACTTATTGTCCATAAGTCAATTAAGTGACAATGGTTATGATATTACCTTTAATCAAAAATGTTGTAAAGCTATTAGTCAAAAGGATGGCTCTATCCTATTTAGTGGTAAGAGGAAAAACAACATTTATAAAATAAATCTTTCAGAACTTAAAGTTCAAAATGTTAAATGCCTCTTGTCTGTTAATGAAGAGCAATGGGTCTGGCACAGAATATTGGGCCATATTAATATGAGACGTATATCTCAGATTAATAAACTTAATCTTGTCAGAGGACTCCCTAATCTGAAGTTCACTTCAGATGCTCTTTGTGAAGCATGCCAGAAAGGGAAGTTTTCAAAAACATCTTTCAAATCAAAAAATGCTGTTTCTACTTCTAAACCACTAGAATT